TCCTCCATGCTCCGAAGAGCGAAGAGCCAGCAGGGCAACCGGCAGACACGCCCACCCTGCTGGACCAGGCCTTGCCCGAGAGCCGATGAACGGCTACCTCTTCTGCTAGAATATTGGCCGCTGGCGATAATCCTCTCGTCCAAGAGGACAAGGAGGAAACAGTACCATCGCCAGCGTTTCCAGGGTGCACCACGGGGAGGTTTTCTAGCTAGCACCCCAAAGTACAGATACCCTCTGCTAAGCCTAGCCTTAAGCGATCTTGGTTTACTTTTATTTCTGCTATTATAACATATTGAAATAGGTCCTAGAAAGTACAGCTGATGGTGATAACTACAAATCGCGTTTACAATCACTAGTTTATGCCATACTTTCGGTGTTCAATATCTAATATTGCTCAATTATGTTAAACAATTTTGTCTTTTGTTCTTAGTGAATTGTGTTTCTTAGTAAAATAGCACCGTTTTGATGTTTTTAACTAACAAGAATCCATCGCAACGCTTTTGTATCTGGTTTTTCTAAATGTGAGGACCAATATTTTGTACGGATCTGTAACACATTGTTACACAAAGACGCTTTTTAGCCCGAATAAATACGCCAAACTCACAGTCGCGGTCGTAATTAATAACGTACGGTACACGCAATAAAAAAATATGTTTAACTTTTTTTTATTGCGTGTACCGTACGTTTCATTAAAGTTAAACGCGAATGAAACTGCGCGCAAAATCCTGTATATTATATTCAGCTGTTAATAGCCAATAATTCTTTAATTTATACAAAATTTGCAAATGTAATTAAAGCCTCCCTTCATTGGACCCATATTAACATACCCGGTAGCCCCTCCGCTGGCCGCATTTAGAATTTAATAAAATTTATCACGAAAGGGACAACGGACAGAATACCGACAGGGAATTATCCTGATAGAATTTTATTAAATTGACGTAAATTTTTATATTCTACTTTTATATTTTTATCTCTGTCGCTTTTTATTAAATGTCCCATAATTCAATATTCCTAAAAATGCTGTGCAGGTTTAAAAATATTGGCTTAGCAAGGTAGCAATGTATACAGAGACTCACAGTAACTGATAATTTATTGTTAACCACTGTATTAGGTTAGCCGTAGGAGAGCAAGCTTACGGGCCTGATGGTCTAGTGGTTAAGTGACCCTGACTGCTAAACGGGGGGGGGGTCGTGGTTTCGATTCCCACCAATCATTGTGTGATGAGCACGATCATTTGTTTTGTGTCTGGGTGTAATTTATCTATAATATATATGTATTCAAAAATATATAAGTATGTTTATCAGCAGTCCGGTTACCAAAGCACAGGCTATGCCTAGTTTGGAATTAGACGGCCTTGTGTGAGATGTGTGAAATTATTATTATTAAAAGTTAAATATTAATCCACCACCGTTATTAAATGCTCGACCGGAGTGATACCAGGGCCTCACAGACAACCGGTGTTAAACAATTCTTTCGTTGTTTTCACTGAGTGTGTAAGGTTATCGGAGGCCCAAAACTCTACCCTTTCCTATAACTGCGAGGAGTGGCCACCCAGTTGTGAGATCGAAAGTTGAATCGGAATCGGATCGGAACTGAATTGGGACCGAACTTTTGTAGGCCACTGAGTATTGGCCTTGAGGTGACCCTTGTGCAAGCTTACCCTCTATATCCTGGAAAAATATCAGAAACATTAAACACCGGCCACATGGCACACTGGTGTACGGACTACGGTAGACCTCGTCATATCCTTGTCAGGCCATATAACATATTTCTGAGGTTGCGTACTTTCCCTTGAATATATGTTCGTAAAATTCCCTGCCTGACTTAATCTGTAATAAGATCAATAAGACTCATTGTTCATACATTTGAAATGAATGAAGATTGGAGAGATCCAGATCTCTCCAATTTGTCGTAAATATAATCTACGTAATTTACTGTTACTATGGCTTTCAACTCACTCTGATTGGCGTTCGTATGCGATCTTTACCGCAGCTCATAATTAAGATCAAGATTTGAGGGACGAGGAGAGCAAAATTACTTTAACCTTACTTGTATTTTCTAAGTTAATCATATAATAGTTCAGTCAGTCAGTATTCAGCCAGGTCATCAGAGATTAACGCGATCAAGAGGTATATACATACTTATTTCACCGAAAGGACCAATTGAAAGGCTCATCATGGAAAGCGAAATAAAACAATAAACTGCACCTAATTGGTCGTTTTGTTTGTTATGTAATAATAACAATATATCATCATTCACCTTAAGTATTTATTTACAAATATTAGAACTTCCTGAACTGGTATTCATTTTGTTATAGTCGGCTTTATTTATTAAAGTCTATTTATTTAACACTAGCAGCCCGCCCCGGTTTCGCACGGGTGTGATTACATTAGAAGGATTAATATTTAATTATTTAGATCTTCTCTGTAAACGACATTTGATGTTATATTATTATGGGTTAGTAAAATATATTGTTTTTCGGGAGCTCCAACTCGCGATAAGCCAACATACAGTTGGCTATGAGTAACACACTCTTTTCGTAAGTCTATGCCTACTAAGTCGAAAGTTTGGCCTTGAGATTTATTAATTGTTAAAGCGAACGATTTTTTTCATAGGAAATTGAAGACGTTTTAAGGGTATTGGCAAATCAGTAGGGATCATAGGTATCCGGGGTATGTGCGCTAACTGACCGGCTGCGGGGCCAGTGATTATGTTCGCTACAATGATATTGTCCCTCAATTCCATTATAAGAAGACGCGTGCCATTGCACATGCTAGGAGGGCTTAAATTTTGTAACTGCATTATAGGCGTTCAAATTTTTAGTAGTTATTGTGAGATAAGTCGGAGATAAGCATATGATATCGCGGACTTTTTTATAGGTATTGATATGTTCTTTAATATTGTAGTACATTGTTTTGTTCTATCATTAATAGTTTACGCAGCGCATGCGATGAGAGACATTTTATCTATACTAATATTATAAAGCTGAAGAGTTTGTTTGTTTGTTTGAACGCGCTAATCTCAGGAACTACTGGTCCGATTTGAAAAATTCTTTCAGTGTTAGATAGCCCATTTATCGAGGAAGGCTATAAGGCTATATATCATCACGCTAAGACCAATAGGAGCGGAGCACCAATGAAGAATGTTTCAAAAACGGAGAAAATTTATTACTATTGAGAGACGCAGACGAAGTTGCGCGGGTCAGCTAGTGACTAATAATTTTACACCTTGAACACATTCATTAAGTTTTAGTAGGGATCCCTAATTACTTTTGTAAATAAAAATAGCCAATGTCACTCGGCGACGATGTAGCTTTCTAACGGTGAACGAATTTTTAAAAGCGGTCGAGTAGGTTTTGAATTAAATCGTAACAAATAAATAAACAAACAAATCCTTCTTCTTTATAATATTAGTTTAGATATCTTAATATTACTGTAAGATTCCACTAAAACGAATGACGTAAGCCGCCTAAAGCCCTTTCGTCGCAAATCCTAGGATTCCAAGATGACAATCACAGTACCCGAAGTCTAAAAGATTACTGAACCTAACTTTAACGTGGTTATATCAAAGAATGGGTTGGCTCAGATAAAATAGAAGATAAGTAGAATAGACAGGAGTTAAAACGACTGGCCGTGTTTACTTTGGATTTTTTATAAATAAGTTATGTTATTATCCGTTTATTTTTTAGTTATACTAACATCAACTTCTTAAAAAAATTACCTTGCATTACATTAGTTTACCCTCACGTGCTTTGGTTTCGGTTTTTTTTGACACAAGCCGAGAGGGTTTCGTGGTATTTATTAAAGAACGATTTTATCTTCAGTTTCCCATTCGAACGTTAATTTTTCCAAGAAGTAAGGCGTCTTGAAGACTGTTTTATCTAAAAACGACATAAACCCATATAACTATTAACTATCATAAATATGAACACCACGCACGAAAGTTCCTTAGTGCTTGACAGCTGTGCGTGATTTCCGAGCGACGTGATATTTTCCACTGTATAACATACATAGCTTATAAATACTGACGCCCCATTCCCATGAGATAATCGACCCATCAATACGTCGATGTCTCATGTTCCCATTAAATATTCCCATACGTCGACGGGCGAATGAAGAAATTGTATTTAGCGGAACAAACGCATTGTGTTCGTTCTGTATAATTGTTTTATAGTTGTAATGTTTTTTCTTTTAAATTAAAACATTCATTACAGATAATAGGTTTAATTGTTTGCCAGCGTAAAATAACTGACGATATACGACACCACTTGTTATTTTCTCTTTTATTGTCAAATTAGTTACTTAAATGTTAATCAAATTATAAAAATGTTAGCGACTAGTCTCAATAAAGATAAAACGGTAAAGAAAAATATTGTTTTTCTAGAATGCAGTTGACACATGCATCGGCATATGTAAACTGCATTACACATACATTGTTTGTCAAATTAGTAACTTTCAAATTTTTCATCAATGCTAATCAAATTATCAAAATATTAGCGACTAGTCAATAAAAATCAAACGCTAAAGAAAAATATAGTTTTTACATATGCATCGGCACAAATAGACAGGCTGGACCGGAGTGACACCACGTACTCACAGAAAACCGGTGTTAAACAGTTCTTTCGTTGTTATACACCCAGTGCATGAAGCAACTGGAGCCCTAACAACTATTTCTGTGGGGACTTGAAGGCCTGCAACGCACTTGTGACTAGAGCTGCAGGTGTCCCTTAACATCAGGTGACCCGTCTCCTCGTTTACCCCTTATATCATTTAAAAGACTTGCTTTGGTCTGGAAACAGAAAACCAGTATAACTATGGTGATCTTCTTCCACAAAGTAGTGATCGTTAAAATAGCTCAGAAGTCTGTTGCGTCCAAATCTTATTGAAAAATCTGTTATCATAAGCACATTCTCAGTAGCATAAAAACATTAAAGGTAGAGTGAAATTATAAATTGAAATCGTTGTAAGAGAATGATACTGACTTGAACCTTTTCTATGCAGTGCAATGAACCATACTTCCCGTTCCTCGTCGCTCACGCACCACCCAACGGCTACCGCTCTGAAGGTGACGAGGATGGCGTCGTGAGATGTTGCTGCGTCTGCTACACCTTCCTCCGGCAACAGTGGGAGCAATATGACCGCGAGAACAAACCACACAGCCAGCGGTTCTATTGGATCAAGAGGCTCGATGGGAAACCATTTATAGGTGAGTTATGATTTCTTTAATACATTGTGACTGCTAATTATAGTTATAATAATAATATTTGGCACATCTGGCACACAACGCCATCTAGTTTCAAACTAATCAGAGCTAGTACTATGAAAGCTAGTTTGACTGATAGAATACTTATATACTTTTTTGTAAATACATACAAATAATACATAGAAAATACCCAAACTCCGAAATAAATATTTGCAAATTATACGAACATTTGGTACGACCCTGGATTCGAACAGTCGCCTACGCTACCACTGCACCACCGAGGCAGTCAATTGAACGTAGCATTAGTAATTTCACCCGTGGGAGAGTCATGCTTTAGCGTATATGGGCTGGCAAACTCCCTCCTCCTGATTCTGGGGGAGAGGGAAAGGGCTCAAAGGGTGACTACGCACTGTGAGTCTTGGGTTGCAAGTAGGGATGGAAATAAAATCACAATCGAATGTGATAAATCATATGATTTATAATCCATATAAGCACACCTGTGACTGATTTACAACACCACTACGACTTCTAAATCTAAAAAAAGGTATTTGATAAAAAGAATTTTGATTGAATTGCCATTAATTAATTCAATCATTCTAAATAATTAACGAAATCGCAATCTCATGTGAAATCGCTGTGACTAAACCCAATTATTTCATCATATGAATACGATTTAAAAGTAGCAATAATTTCAGGCCCAAAAACGTCCAGTGTGGAATCAAATATATTAAAAAAAAACCTTGCAACTCCTAGGATGACAAAATTACTAATAGCTAACCTGTTATTTGTCAACGTCATCATCATAAGAATGATTTTTTTAAATGATGCAGCCATCATTTATATATTAAAATTAATCAGAAAACAGTGCAATTCATTCAGATTAAGTTTGCAAGTATTTCCTGATACCTTTTTTTTTTTTTTTTTTTTTTTTTTTTTTTTTTTTTTTTTTTTTTTTTTTTTTTTGTTGACGGAGTGGAAAATCCCTTCGGATCTCCGGCTCCTTGGGGATATAGGAGCCAGGAGTATGTGGTGATTCCACTAAAAAACCACTCCGACGGCCAGCCTTAGGCGCCCTGCTCTGGGGAGAACCCGGGCCATGTGATTTCAGGGAAAGCCAGTGGCTTCTCCCTGCCTCTCAGCCTATCCAGATGTTGCAGCCCGATCACATTTTCAGTGCGATCAGGCTGCCATCCTTTCCCCTACCGCAGCAATTAATCTGCCACCAGAGGTCCCCACTCTCTGGCGGCCCGCGGTCCCGTCGGCTGCTCATTACGTCGTCGACGTCTTCTTCGCTCGGGATCGGCCCTCTCCCGATCCCGTTCAGCGGTCTCTTTCTGGAGCATTACAGCTTCACAGAAAGAGACCACTGCGCCCCAGCCCTCCTCACCCGCCAGCATGGCAGTAATGATTGCTGGCGGGGACAAGTCTCGTCCGATTTCATCGACCAGGACTTCGCGTTCAGATGCCCACGCGGGGCAGTCTTCCAGCGTGTGCTGGGCGGAGTCCCAGTCGGCTGCGCAGTGCTGGCATTGTGCCGTCTCCTCTCGTCCAATCCGATTCAGGTACTCACCGAAGCAGCCATGCCCAGTGAGCACCTGCGTCAGTCGGTAGGTGAAAAAGAACTTTAGTTCAGGAAGATCAGATCCGACAACTTGATTATAGAAAGCAGTCACTTGGCCAACTCAACCAAACATATTGTTTTATTTCCTGATACCTACTCATAAACACTGAAGATGATTTGATTATTAACTTTTTACTTAATTCTTAACATTATTGCTAATTGACTTCACAAATGTCTTTTTTAAGTATTCAAGATTTCGTGGCTTGTTAATCTGTACAAACAGTACCACACCATACACCATTAACTCACTTTTACTTAATAATTTTATTATTAAAAGGTTTTGTGTTAGTTCTTATACCTACATTCATAAATATTGATAATCTAATATGAAATACAAGCGATAAATGTATACCTTAGGCCAGGTTATAAGAAAGCCGACATTGATTGATTAGAGCTCGTTATAACAGGCTTAAATTATAACAATAGGTTTTAGGTTTAACACAAATGTAATTTATTTATCGTGAAACTAGAATTTAATACCAGAATGTTGATTTAACTTAGAAACTATACTCGAATCAAAACTCACGGGAATGATATTTATCTAAACGAATATTATATAACTGATGTGTTTGTTTAGTTGAACGGCGCTAATCTCAGGAACAACTGGTTCTAATTGTAAAATTATTTTATTAATGGATAGATCATTTATTGAAGAAGACTATATGGTATATAATATCAGGCTAAAACCAATAGGACCCTAGGATCAATGGAAAGACGCAGGCGAATTAAGTTTAAGTTGTTTATGTTATGTTTAGTTTATGTTTTTATTAATAGTCCTTTAGAAATAAGGATAGATCGGGCAGTGTAAGCCATACCTTTAGTAAATCAGTGTCGTATCCCCGTTCCTCATGTCTTAGGAACAGTTGTACCCATTTCAGGCGCAGAGTGGCATAAAGTGTCAAAGCTCAAGTGTAAAGTGTGACGGTTTTTTTTTATATGTGACAATCCCCTCGGCTTTTTATACGTAAAAAGTCGCATACATACATACCCTTTAATTAAATAAAAAGAAAAACATTTTTAACCTTTTCTAAGAAGAAATACCTAACTACGTCAGCTCAACTGATAAGTGCCATTTGTAGATTTTTTCTATTTGTTTTATACGTACGTAGTTTTAAACATAGCCATCCGATCAGTTGTCAGTACAGGACTTGCGAACATCGACATTGCATTCCGATTTATTCCGAAAGGGTTCGATTTATTCGAAATGGCGCTCGTAAATCCGGTTCGTTCTATCGAGATAAATAATATTAAAACAAAGGATTGGGATAGTTCGTATTGCGTTGTGTTTATGTTTCGTACTTTGTATGGATGGATAGACGAGCCTGTTGTGTAGAATCTATAAATACACTGTTGGTATCTCTTTGTCAGACTCATTGAATGTTATAATTAACTTGAATTTCTTTAGTGTTCAGCAATGAGGCCTGTGTATCTGGCAATATAACAAATACACACAAAACCATCATAATCAATATTTATTTAAAAATAAGTAATTGTAAACTAGAAATCAGATATTTAAATGTTACCTTTGGAATCTTAAAAGTGAATCATACTGCTGATAAACATACCTATGATATCAAATATATAAGTATAGGATATATCGTTAATGTTCGTGTTTAAGATTAATCTGCCATGTTTTGATGCGAAGTTCCAAGTATTATCTTTCTTCTTCCGCTTCGCCTTATCACGTATCAGCTATCCTGATCACGCAACGCCATCTACTTTCTCGAACATTTCGACATAGTCTTAGAATAGTGTGAGATCTGATATTTCTTAAGCTCAGCAGCCATTTCAAATAATTATGTTAGTTTTTTTGACATAACTTTTTTAATTCTTAATCTGTAATTATGAAAATTGGCATACAAGTGAAAAATTGTTGTTTTTTTTAAATGCAATAAGAATAACAACTAATAATTACATATTTTTCTAGAAAAATCACATGCTTTATATTACTTTGAGCGCCTATCAAATCCGTCAGTTTACCGACTGAATAATTTAAATTATATAATTATATTTTTTTTCTTGAATGTAGTAATTATATTTAGACAATGTAGTATCCAAATATGATAAAAACTAAATTTCATATTTTTTTCGAAACCGACATTATTGTTAATTTTGTTCGTGGAGTCCCAACACCTCGATGTTTCTTTGGATGTTTATTATGTGAAGTCGTTTAAGGCCTTACTCTTCTCATTTTTTTTAATCAAAGTGATCATCTGGTCTTCACATAACGTAACCTTGCCATCTTAGCTTACTCTCAAAAGTTTTGTGGGCTTAAAACACCCACTTATCTGTATCTCTGTATCTGTATCTCTTGTATTTCTTACTATCTTATCTCTTATATAAAACCTAAGAGAGTATTTAATTGTTAAATTAATATATAAGAGATTTCTATGTATATAGTCACTCATCACGATATCTCTGGAACCATTAGAGCTAAAGACTTGAAATTTGGTAGGAATATTCTTTTCACCGAGTAGAGGAATTTTAAGAAATTCAAAAAAATAAATAAATAAAAAATGTAAATAGCAAAACAACGTTTGCAGGGTCAGCTAGTTGTTAAATTAACTAACTATGAGTAATGTTATAATGAAATCAATTTACGTTCTAAAGTTTTGGATGCGACCGACCATTAATATCTATAGTACTTTGATATGTTCATTAATGTGTAATAATAAATAAATATTGATATAAATATATTAGGCATCAATGTGGTCGTCGAGAGCATAAATAATTTCAAATTAATATTTTGCAAAATAACAATTGTATAGAGAACTAATTGATGATATAATTAACGCAAAATCCAACGGTGACCAGAAATACCTTTATTCACTGTGAAATTTAATTGGCTGCCGCAATGTTTGGCCCGAGTTGTTTTTGTACGAACATTCTACATAAAAATGCTGTAAAATATAATTCAGCGAAGAAATATTCTTGTAATAATTCTTATCAAACGTTATTTCAAGTGTCAAAACGGGTCCCGTATCAAAGCCCCACCCTGTCTCCCTGGCGGATTATCCGGCAGGGGGAGAAGGGCCCGACCCACGCCACTCTTTTGTCTCCACATCCCGTGATGACAGAAAAATGTCCTTTTTTTTATTCATGTATTTTGAAGGCTTGTTATATTTGTTAATTGTTTTTTATTGCGGGATTGCATGGCCATCCGTTCCGGAACATACGTATTATGTGCTTTCTTTTTATTAGAGATAACGCCAATACCGGCTACAGGACATCCGACAAACGTCGATGTCCAATATCCGGAGGCCTGTTAAGTAAAGGTGATTAAGAAGGTGTCCCCCGTGAGACACAGGATATATTCCTCGTGCGGGAGTTGTATCTTTTGAATAAAAGAAATAAAAATAAACTAAAAAAGAACTTACCACGT